TGTGGTTCAGAGGTCATTCAGAACTGTTTTTACACATACGACGAAGGAACCACCATGCTGTTTCCATGTGATATGAGAAGTACCTCATCTATCCTATGACATAGCAACACCATGGAGGTAGACGACATCTCAAGGGAGGATGTAGATACCTTGTTTGGAGTTTGGTTTCCTGATCAGAGAGGGAGACAGAGAAGGGAAGTGCTTATCTCTATAGCCTTATTTCTGCTTCCTCTTTTTCCCCGGTTCCTTGTTTCTTTCCATCTATGGTTGTAAGATGTTCTCTCTCTCAGACTTAAGCCAGGAACTGAGGGCCATGAAAGATCTACATCCCCTTAAAACTCCCTGTACCTCTTCTAAGATCCTGAGACATTCACTAAACTGATTCCTTTAGGGGCCTTAGAGCAATAGAGGACTTTTTCTTGAATAACTTCAGTTAAAACGTCACTCATCACCTTTAGTGCAACATCACTGTACTGCTTATATGTTAAAACCATAAATGATTTAATTAAACAATTAATTTATTTGAAGCTGCATACATCTGTTTATGATAAATCAATCTTAATGTACAGATTTCTTCCATATGCTGTCATAATTTAATGCCAGGGCTTAATTAGCATGTTTACTTTCATATGACTGATACTCCATCATGTGGCGTAAATTTTTTTCCAGACAAGACCAACTGAAAAAGTTTGTCTGCTTCACCAAATCATAGCTTTGCTTTGAATGTTTCCAAGTTTACTGCCAAGCGTTTCACTGTCATCCCCACGGCCGTGGATATCTGAGGTGAACATCCAGAGCAGGTCACACAAAGCAGACAGACTGAGCTGCAGCAGCCAGTACAGTCTGTCTTTAACTTTGAATGTTGTTGCAAGAAATGAATCATCAGGGAAAACAGTCCTAAAATAATTTGCATGGCCTAAAAACTGCAGTGTTTTGCATTTGATTCTCATAGTTTTAAATAAAAGTGTTGTATGTAAAAAGAGTAAAAAAAAACGTAGGATTTCTTATTGATTTTCCTTCCTTTGACCAGTCTGGTTAAATGAACACTGGCTGACTGATTTGTGAAGCTCTAATTTTTATCTTTCCTGTATTTATTTCAGGGACGAGCTCCGACTCCGGCATGGTTCTGGTTCTTGATCATCGGGTAAAGGATGACACTATGCTGATCCAGCCTCAGAAGGAAGCTGTGACCCCAGACTCTGACCTGTTATTGTCCAACCGGACAAGGTCGAACTCCACAGCTTCGGATCGTAGTGTGACTTCTGTGCACTCTGTGAGCTCAGAGAAGAGTCTGGGCTCAGCCCCCCGATCCCGGCTGGACTCTGGAGCCTCGGACAGGAGCCAGAGTTCCTTCCAGCGGGGTCGCCTTGACTCTGGCGGATCAGAGCGCAGCATCGGCTCCCTGTCTTCTGCCAGACAGAGGCTGGGATCAGATGTCTCCGATTCATGTGTCAGACCTCGTTTGGGGTCTGTGAATAAAGACGGCATGGGTGTGTTATCTAGAGGTCGGTTGGACTCTGTGACATCCAGCCTCAGCGTGGGTTTGTCTTCTGAGGAGAAGGCTCCATTGGAGGATGTAGAGAGAACAGGAAGTGGTTCAGGCAGCAGCACTGACTCAGAACCTGAGAAAAGCCAAATTCCTGCCAGCAGTCAGAACCGATGTAACCAGGAACTCCATCCTAACCAGGATGGACCTGATGGGGCTGTTCTATCTCAAAGTGGTCCTGTGAATGGGCTCCACAATGACCACACTCAGGGAAATTTAAACTTCAAGAAGGTTGGTGTATACTTCAACTGATTGTTTTTCAATATCTAATAAATATATATAGGCATATTAAAGGGGGAAACCCATTGTGTGACCCCTGAAAACCACTAGGTGTCAGAGTACAGCAGCAAAGCAAACAGAGTTTGGGCTTAAAGATCAAGACAGATTTCTTAATATGGATGCATTCTCCTTTTTTTGGACTCTTTTTAATCAAACAATATAACTTCTACATTGCATAAAGCCGATCTCAGTTAGACATAGAGAAGTTCACCCAGAATTTAAAATAAATAGAATCTGATGAGAGACGCTCTGACACTGACTTCACTAAGTTTTTTTTCATGTATTTTGTGGACAAAAATGTTGACTGCTGTACAGCATCATGCATACAGTATGGCTACATCTAAAAAAAAAAACTAAAAAAAACACTTTCATCTAAAATGTCCTTAATTCCAGTAATTTTGTTCAAAACATTAACCTCATATAGATTTGTTGCACTGTCAGTTTAAAGTTCTGCAAACATTTGTCTGGTCGTGTTTGTCAAGTAGTTCTTCAATTTCAAAAAGCTTGTAAATGTGATTCTTATCAAGCAGGCTGTTTCGAACTGTCTTCACAAACGAGGTGAACAACTAAAGCTTATTACTCTAGAAGCTGGCTGTTCAGAGTTCTTTCCCAGCATATTAATGGAAAGTTTAGTGGCAGGAAAGTCTGGGAAAAGAGGATTTAATTCATAATATGGAATAACTGTGTAATGAGTTGATATAAGTTTCACTTTTTGAGAAGTTTCACTGACCTTTATAAATATTACAATGCTATTTCAATGTATTTATATGCAGATGTCTGTCCTTTTAATATGGATTTGTTATTGCAATAACTTAAATCTGTGCAGCTGTTCATAAATGTTGTTTTTTGGTGCAATCTGAGCCAGCTGGACGGCGCAGCTATTAAGCATTTATCAAATTGGCTTTACAGAGAGGGGCGCTGAGCTGCACATTCACAGCCAGGAGCACCAACCTTTCAGGCTCTCCGTTTAATCATACTTGAGTAGAAACTCCTTCGCTCGATTCTTCAGCGACATGCAGGTCCCATCGGCATCCATAAACACAACAAGTTTAGCTCCTAGTTGATGCTGTTTGGTGTCCGTTACTTGGTTACACAAACAAACTGTGCACCTGATTGTCTCTGGTTCAGCTCAGCGGTATGTCTGCCTCACCTGCTCTCAGAAAGGAATATGTGCCTCTCGTTCTCCATCCCGGAGCGCTAGGAAAACAGAAAATCATGATGCGTGACGGCATCTAGACTCTCCTCTAAACATATTTAGCCAAAGCCACAAATTCTTTCACTGTTCGCTCTAAAACAGGCTGATGTGGAGTCGGTCTCCTGAGAGTAATGTAAACATCAGAGCGTCTAGCCGTGGCCGCGGTGCCAGGAAAAGAACAGAGGGCCACATTGACATGTTCAAATATAAATGTAACACAATGAAAACACAGCAGCCAGAGCTGAATTTAGCATCCTCTCTGTGATTATGCCCCAATATGCAGACTCCAGTTCTTTATGAATCTCCTCTACTGCTCAGTGTAGCAGGCAGCTGGGTGGTTGTCAGCAGAGCGGGTTGACCTTTAATCTGTGCTGCTTCTTCTCATGGATCACCATATTTCTATGTTTGTCTTCCCTCCTTTTTAGATAACATCTGATGGAAATCTGACATTCCCTCATGGCAAGGCCAAGGAAACGGGTAAGACTTTAGTTCAGCTCTGTATAAAATCACTCAACAATTCAGTGTGATTATCTTTTCACCAGAAAAAACATGTTGGCATTTAAACTTTATTTGTGCCATCAGGTCAATATTTTGGCAGCTCAGTGTTTCTGAGCTCCTTTTTAGAAATTAGCATACATATGTTGTGAAAAGGAAAATATTTATTTATTAGATGCTACAAATATTATAAGATAAACCTACATTTGTGCTAAAAATCTTGTTTTGTTATAATGGTGATCTAAACACTGATACTCTATACTCGTAATTAGGAGTCACAGGCTTTTTAAACTGTTACAGGCTCTTTACATAAGTTATTTCCAAATTTCTTAGCATCTAATGTTCTAGTCTACATACGGCCTCATCCTCCAAAGTTTTTGGATCTTAAAACACATGAAGACTTGCTTTGTACATCCAGAGACGATCGTAAAATAAGCCCCAAAGTGGGACTTAAATTGCACATGCAAAGGCAGCACATGCAAACGTTTTTTTGTGTGTAAACTCTTCAAAATGTGGATCAAATTTTAATGGCTTGAACTGTCAAAACGTGTATGCAAAGGAATGTAAATATTTACCACATGCATAGCTAAATTATTTCAAATTGAGCCTCATTTTAGCACTTCTAAATGTCAGATGCAAGCTTACAGGGAGGAATTTCTGAGGTTTTTTCAATATATTTTATATTTAACTTGAAGATATAGTAGAGGATGTTCTTTTTCGGTTTGATTTTTAAAATAAGTGGTCCTCCTAATTGTCAGTCATTCTGGTGATATGTTTACGTAAGGTTGTCCTGCTTGCTCGTCCTCTTTTTCCACTTACACTACGGGTGTTGAGTCTGACATAATGGAAAAATTGCCAATCTCTCTTTTGGAAAGTAAGCTTGTATGAGCAATGCAAACAGCACCTTTTAAACAGAGCGTACACAAGGAGAAACAGGCTCTTGCACGAGTTTAATAGGCATTCACTCTCAAGAGCAGTTACAGGGTTGTGCATGTGCATTTTTTTTTTTTTAAGTGGAGAGGGTTGGTCTTTTCAAAAACTCGTGAAAATCCTCCACTTGACATTTAAACTGTTCCCTTTTTCATAATTTTATTTATTTGTAGCACTTTAAATGGGCAAAGTCGAGTTCCATTGTTACTATTGTTTAAATGATTATTGCCATCATTGCCTCCAATAAAATGGTGCTGAATCTCATCTTCCTTTTATGGCCACTCTCAGACTGCCAGTACCGCACACAGACCGCTCATTTTAATAGGATGCAACCAAACCGGCATGCTATCATTTGCGCAAGCTATCTTTGTAGATCACCTGCAACAGGTCCACTTATTGCATATGCAAAATAATCTTTTCACAGGAAATTTGGTGTTCTTTGTTTTCATTCTTTGAAGCTTAGGTCCTAAATGGCTTTATCCATGGTGTGCAAAAATGCCTGCCTTGATTTTCTCATGCTTTTTTACAGACTGGTGTGTGTGTGTATGTGTATGTATATATATATATATATATATATATATATATATATATATATATATATATATATAAGAAATGACAGTTGTCAAAGTATTGACACATTTTATTCCTCCTTAATACTGTGTTTGACACATTATCTGGTTTTCTTTAAAACTAAATTTAATAGAGAGAAGTTTTTCATTGACCCTAGCTTTATCCTATAAGGCTCTATGTTTCCTTCAACTTTTCTTTGTAAGAAGGGTGTTTCAGTGTTTGCTTACTTAAAATAAAGACATTGTATCCATTATCAGTTTGCATAGCTAATAGTTAATCACCTGGTTAAGTCTAATTTGTTGTACAGATGAAGATGCACTAATCAGAAACTGGTCAGTAAAATTTTACCTGCAAAAATGAACTATATTCACCCTGATAGACGATTATCATCAGACCTGATCATTTTCTTGCCTTCCTCCCATACTTGTACTAAGAGCATACCGTAAGTAAAATCATGCCACTCTTTGAGACAGTGTCTCTAACAAGGTTTTTCTAATGATATTAACCAAAGACAAATAAAGGAGCTGATCAGCATAGCTAGCATTCCTACAACAATAGTTTGCATGTATTTTCTAAAGAAAACAAACTACTTAGGATTCCAAGAAAGCAGCTATAATTTTCAAATTCAGTGTGAAAGGTAGATGTTAAAAAGATAAAACGGAGTAATGCATATTTTGTTCAGCCTTCTTATACTTTCTCATTTTCTCTTACAGTTATATAAATTGTAGACACTTTTATGCTCTTTAAAAATAGCTAAATGTAGCACACATCTACTATTCACTGTCTTTATATGAAGCACCTCACTGTTCTTTATCCCAAATAGTTTTCTGTACTCAGTAACACCGTAAAATAACATTTTTCTGACTAGACTTTTTGGATTATTTTCAGTTTAGAGTCCTGATTTTTTTTTTAAAGATAAAGGAAACTGTAGTTTGCACTCACATAAGCCATGAACGTAATTTAGGCAGATCAGGCTGACCTTTTTGCTTAGATGATAAGCACGGCCTTAAATTCTGCACATATTAATGGAAATTTGGGACCCGGAAAACTTGGATATACAATTTTATCGATTAAATGTTTTCATTTTTTTATTTTTTTACAGAGATGCCATGAATATACATACCTTCTTTATATTAAATCTAATCCTGATTATTTAAAGATTCAGAACGTTGTGGTGTTCATTTGAAGTGGGGTCCAATCACAATCTTTCCCCTATCATGATTAGGCTTCCCTTTTATAAAAGACAGACATCAAGTCAAGTAAAGATCTGTTGGAGATATTGATGTTTATAATTGTTATAATTTTTTTGTACAAGCAATCTGAACAAGTAAATTTATTTTAGAAGCTTCCCTTCTCTGTATTCCATTGTTTTTCTCTAAAATCAGTTCCTTCTTTTGCAGCACCTGAAAAGAAAGATGTCATCTTGGAGAATTTCAGTCGCACCAACTCTGTTCGTGACCGAATGCGCAAGTTCACAGAAGCCAGCCAAAGCCCAAACCCCCCAGTTCTGAAGAAGAACCCTCTGAGGAACGGAACCACCTCTGGCCTTAACAATTTCTCCAGAGCTGCAGAGCTTTTTGCTCAGACATCAGCAACCTCCAGCAAATCTAAAGACAAACCCACTAAGACAACTGTAGGATCAGGTTCTAACACCTCTGCTGTGTCCCAGAGCCCAGCTGCACCTCAGCCCCTCAAAGGAGGGGCCGAAGGACCTCTGTCTTCAGCCAGCCAATCACAAGCCTCCCTGGGTGGGACGAGGCTACCCGCTGAAAAAGATGTGCCTGTCTGTGCTGAATTAAAGGAAGACAGGACCCTAGGGAGAGCAGCTGAGAAAGAGATCCCTGAGGGAGAGGAAGACCCCGACATGAAGACTTTCCTCACGATTGAGATCAAGGATGGGCGCACCACCACCAACTCCTCATCCACCGCTTCAACGCCAAGAGGCAGCATGATGCCTATCACCAGCATGACCCCCCGCATCACCACTCTGGGACAAAGACCAGGTAAGCAGCACCAGCCTTACAGCTTCAGACATCTCTGTGTTGAACCACACTATACAAGCCTTTTTTGGTTCTAATGAAATAAATAACTGGAATCCCCAGTCGTTGGAGGAGCTGACTCACCAACTGAACCGATGACAGTTTTTGAGAGTCTAAACAAGCACAAGTTAGAGCAAAGGGATGCAAAGGCTGAGTAGCTGGCACAGATTTACTAAGGGGCATTTGTTTCAGAGTGGATACATTTCTCAGCTCTGAGGGGGTGGATGGAGGATGAGGTCACTGGTCAACAGCATAGAGCAGATTTCAAACAAATAAAGAAACGACTGGCTCTCTAAACAGAAACACAATGGTTTTATTGTAACGGTGAATGAACAAGCTTGTCTGCCCACATGGAGATCACTACTTGGTGGTGTTCTGTACAAACTGTCTTCCCTTCATTTATTTAAAACTAGACACTCTGCCTGTAATTCATGCATTTAAATAACATGTTTTTTTGGATATCTGCTTTGTGATTTGCCCCACAGAGGGTAAAGCAGTCTCACCTGATGATCTGCATTAATGATTCAAATATTACTCAGTTTTAATAATTTAAATATGACATTCTTTTATTTCTATGAAAAGTTCCACCTCATTTTAGAAAAAAAACTTTATTTTATTCTATATTTCCTATAGAACATAAATTTTAGCAGTTATAAAAGGTAAACATGAATGTTTAAGCGAAAGGTGCGTCATTTCTTCATTTGTTGTCACTGCAGCTTTGGTTTGTTTTAAAAAGAAGCTGTCTGCCATAAGATTTGGTGGTTTTATTCAACCTGTCACCAAACAGGTGACAGTTTTATTTTCTGAAACATTAAAGAGATTTTTTTTTATTATTCTCTAACTGGTTTAGTGTAAGAAAATTAAATTACTCTGCACATATTTACCAGCAGAGGGTTGTCACAGAAAATGAAAAAATAAAAAATTTTGCAGTGTTGACATGCAGTATTTTAATCAAAAAAAGAAGTTTACACATATTACTGGAAAACCATACAGATCTATTGTTTATCATCAAATTGCAAAAAGATGTTTTCAAAGTGCTGTACAGCCATAACCATATTTAAAGAAAATAGTTGCATAGGAGGGAAATGCCCTGTAATAACGTCAGTGCTGAATAGAAGTAAGAAGAGATAAGGATGTATGAGTCCAGAACTGGCGGCTAATTTATTGAGCAACATTTAGACATCTAATCTTTGCTTTTTTTTGTCAACTTGGTGCTAAAAATGTTTGGTGAAAAATATAAAATTTAGTTTTTACTGACGGTTGTAATTACAAAAGAAAAAATCACGTTAAGCTTTAAAGATGAGTTAAATAATTAATGAGTATAAGCAACTTCAGATTGAAGTGATTATCTTCATTAAATAAGATATTAGTGACACCAATGTGGGATTTTCCATCAGTCTTTTGCAGCTGTTCTCGCAACATCCCCATTTAAAACACTCTCAGCAACAATAACTCCCGTAACACACACGGTTTGCTTCAAATGAAAGCTGGACCCATGCTAATCCAGACTTCTTTGCCTTTTCCTGCCCTCGTCTCCCACCCCTCCCTATGAGCCCTGCACTGGCTTCCTTAGGAGTCCTTTTCAGCCCAATTTGCTTTAATGGTTTAAGAGCTCCTTTTTTGGAATCCGCCTGTCCCGGTTTGAGTGAAGGCAGCTTCAGGACTGAGTTTCGGGTTTCCCTCCAAAGCACTGTAAAAGCTTGTAAAAGTGCCGTGCGTCATGCTAAAGGTGCATTTCTTCTGTGGTTTATGATCCAGCTCATGCGTGCGGTGTGTTATGATGGGGAAGCAATGAATCCTAAGGAAACACGTACGGCACCCTCAGAGCACGATGTGGAAAGCTGTTTATGCTAAAAATCTACATGTTCTCTTTTTTTTCCTAAAGTCTAAGCAGCTCACTGCTGATGAGTCACATGGAAAATCCTGCACAAATTTTCAGTCTTAAAACAATTTACAAGTCAAATGTTTAAGTTTCTGTCTTGTGTGTGTCTTTTCAGAGTTGACCCTTGGCCTAAGAGCTACACCGTTCAAGATCTCCTCATCTATGTTCCCTTCTGGATCCTCCATTAAGGTAGGCTTCAAATTTTCTGTAAACTTTATGAAAATTGCTTAGAAATTCTCAAAAAGTAGATTTATTATGTGTCCCTAATTGTCAACCAACTCTCAATTGTTGTATTCTGCCGCATCTTTCTGTTGAAAATCACCTATAAATGTCCTGGAAGGTCCTCCAGCAGAGGCAGGAGTGTGTAGGGTGAACATGGTGAGTGGGGGGAGAGGAGCTAGAGCAGACAAGAACAGTGTTTATCAAACACAGAGAAGAGCCACCAGTCATATCTGTCCTTGTAGGGTAAGTGAAGAAGACGGGAGGTTGGGGGAGATGGGAGGTGTTCTTGCTTTTCTCTCTGCATAGTTTTATCTGGAAACTGTTTCCCTAAATCACACCTGTCCGTCTCCGTCTTAAAGTTTATCCTGCAGCTGCCTCAAAGCACAAGTTGATGCAACTTCTTCGACGTGTACTTTTGACTCAGAGGGCAAAGAAGCATCTCTTACGGCTGTTAGGTTTAGCTGAACCGCTCCTCTGTGAGAGTAACAGAAACACTCCAACAAATCTCCTGCCATCCCCCCCCATGTCCTCAGAGGTCAATGCCGATAGCTAACCCTCCTTCTTTAAGACTTCTCGCTCCCTGATAGGAAGCACGGCTGTGAATTGAGAGTCATGTATTGAGCGGAGTTATGTCCTGTTTACGTTTTTATTTAACGACCTCATTTGGAGCGTGTTCATAATCTGGTTATGGAATCAAAAAGCTGGTTAATTAGGCCTCCACCCAGCAGCCATGTGAAGGAAAGCCTCTGCGTGGCTGCAGAGGATTAATGCTGTAGGATTGAAACTGTCTCCCTGGTTTAGGCACCAGCACTGGTTGGGATACAGATATATTCCTACTCTTTTAGCACACTTACAGCCTTCAGTGTGTTCAGTCCCTAGCAAATGTATTACATCCTGATGCTTTTAATGTCAAATTCCCACTAGCTCTCTGTTAAAGATCAAGTAATCTCCACAAAGAGATTTACACAAATATTCCTTAAATTGAACATGTAGCTGAAATTTCTTCAGCACCTGGCTGACACACTGCAAAAAGGATATAAACATTTGTAAAAATGTCTTCAACTAACTGTATTTATTCTTAATTTCAGTAGTTAAATAATATGATCTGCCAATAGAATGATTATTTTACCCTTTAAATAAGATCATTAGATATTATGCACTTGAAATAAGAGATCAGAGTTGTTTTTCTTATTTTAAATGCAAATAGTCTTACTTCACTAGCAAAGTTTCTCACTTACCTGCTCAGTTCAAAAAAGAATGCACTTATTTTAAGAAAAAATGACTTACTTATATTTTAAATTTTTTTTTTGCAGTGTAACCTTTCTGTTTTGAAACAAAAACTGAAGCACAGATATTGATCCCTTCAGGTAGTATTTTTGAAAAGCAAACAATCATTAGGTCCTCTGAGCTCTTAGTCTTGTCTTTATTTTCAAAGATGTTTAGTTAGATCCCTGTCCGGTGTCTGACTGTGCTGTTCTACCGCATTTATCTCTATCGCTGTCGGTTTGTCCAGCTTAAAAATCAGGCTTTATTTTGTTCTTCAATTCAATTCACTTTATTTATATAGCGCCAATTCACAAATCAATGCCAATTTTTGAAGTATGCCAATTTCATTGGCATACTTCAAAATCAGCCACTTGCATGATTTTTTTCCCTCCAAACATAAAGACCAGGAAAGCAGAGTGCATTATTTGTTGCATTTCTTTCTTTGACTTGCTATGAGTTGTTGGTATCTTGAGGACTCTTCTGTCCCAGGCCTTGGTGTGGTTGGTTTATGATGAAGAAAATGTGTTTTTACTGTTTGGGTTTATGACCACCAACTGTGTTTACTGGACGTCAAGAGATCTGTCTGAAATGGATTTCTTCAATAGGTTTTACTACAATGGATTTATGAAGGTCTTTAGAGAGCTGTTTTTCTCTTACCCACCAGTGAGCTTCTTGTGCAATATCTTGGCAATGAGAAACCTTTTTATAGGCCATTAGGTACGGTTAAAACCAGCTGACTTTAATTAGCTCCCACAGAGTCTGGATTGTTTTCTGAATACTGACAGATTTCACCTCTTTTCCCCTTTTTATACCCTTTTTCCCTCGATGTTGAATGCTACCTAAGTGATCCTATTCTTCTACTCTTAATTTATGGACTTTTTTATTTTATTTCATATGAATACTTATATGGGTTAGTGCTGACAAACATAAAAAGATTTATTGATGAAAAATGTCATGTTGCATACTTTGATGTAAATACAGATATCCTGTGAATGCCTCCAAGGTTAATTGTTGAACAGTTTTCCCAATAGACAGTTTACGGATAAAGATTGAAAAGAAGAACTGCCTCAAAGTTCTTGCCTTCCTACTCTAAACACACGTCTGCAGGTAGAATACATTTGTGGCATAGCTTGTGGACTAGCATTATCCATTCGTAGCTTTAACTGTTATTTTACTGGATGAAAAGAAAGATTTTACCGTTAAGCCTCTTTGTGTAGCGCTGCACAGTCAGACCGTCATATAAGCAGCGCCATATAAGCAGCCTAAAATGAAATCCCCCAGAGAAAATCCTCAAGCCTACTACTGTAAGTCTTTGCCTCCTTTCATCACTTGGATAAGCTGCTATATCAGCTTCATGTGCCTGGATTTGCTCAAGTTTTAGCATACAAAGGCTTAGGCTGACTTGGCTAATGAGATTGTAAAAACAGCAGCCGACACCGATGGTTAACATCAACATGGAGGATTTAGAGGGTGGGGGAAGATACTTCTAGACTCCTCCTGTTTTCTGACCTTTTCTGGTCAAAGTTCATGACTGTTAGAGAGATGACGGTCTGTTTTTGGTAAAAATGATCATTCTGGTTAGAAAGTAGAGCTGATATGAAGGCCGGAGAACAACATGAGTTCCTGTTTACTGGTGTTTATTGACCATCATGGTTCCTGTTGGAAGCCCTGATCCATTTGGGTGGTCCAGACCTCTCCTTGGTGGTCTAATCTCAAAGCTCACCTCCTGTATTTACTTTAATTATTTTAATTCCAATAAAATGTGTTGAGGCTGATTGGCTGATAGGCTTTTTTTTTTTTTCACTGACCAAAGTTAAATTAAAGGTTGGATACAGAACAGTTTCAGCTGGTTGATGGTCTCGATATTACTGCCAAGCTTAGGGTCTCTCTAGCTCAGACCGGCACCATCATCTACAAACAGCACCCTGGTGACCGATTCTTTCACTTTACCCCCGAAGGACAATGACATGATTGTTTGCATGCTAGTGATGTGCCACACATGCTTATTGATTATGGCGCTGACTCACATGTCTCACGTAGAGAATGCATTGTCTGTGTAATCTTTTTGGCTGCGGTCCCTACATTTTACTGTATTTTAGCTTAAGATGTTTTTATCCATTTAATTGAGACATTCTCTAAATGCCAACAGTGACCAAAGATTGTTCAGGCTAACTGATAATTTGAAACTTGGCTTTCATGTCTTCATGTTCCTCCTCCATGTTTTCATTGAAGAACTTTCTTTGATATGAACTACCTTTGGTTTTCTATTCCTGTCTTAGATGAGCCGCCCTCCCTGGGCATGATCTAATTTTCACCATTACTAGTTGTCCCCACTGAGCATTGAGTTAACTGAGTTATGGGTTTAAGTAGGAAAGCAACCACAATGTCCTTAGTAGCTCTGGGAAAACTAGAGACCTTCTGCTCAGCTGGGAAACTATACATCCTGCACTATAGAAGAAGAAAGACAAAGGCTTATAGCAACTAGACAAGTAATGGACACAAACAAGTGGAAAATGGTTCCATCCATCCATTTTCTTTACATGCTTAATCCCAGGTGGGGTTGCTGGTGCCTATCTCCAGCTGTCTATGGGCGAGAGGCAGGGTACACCCTGCCCATCGCAGGGAAACACAGAGACAAACAACCATTCACGCACACACTCACACCTAAGGACAATTTAGAGAAATACCAGTCATGTTTTTGAACTGTAGGAGAAAGCCGGAGTACCTGGAGAAAACCAACGCATGCTCAGGGAGAACATGCAAACTCCATGCAGAAAGACCCCGGACCGGGAATCAGACCCAGAACCTTCTTGCTGCAAGGCAGCAGTGCTACCCACTGCGCCACTGAGCTGCGGAAAACGGTTCCCTTGGACCAAAATAGTTCTTGACCTACATGTTAAATGATTTAGAACCAGGACCGTGAAGACACCATCCCTGCTGTGGTGATGGTAGCATTATGGAGATGCCTTCCCTTATGAGTCAGTGGAAAAATGGATGGAGCTACATTTAGGTTACTCCTGAAGGAAGATAATTGAGAACCTGCAGAAGACTAGAAACTGTGGTTCATTATTTTAGCACGACAACAGCTCTAGTGTAAATGTGCTGTGCGTCATGCTGAGGTGCAACTGTAGATTACAATACATTTGTTTGGTATATTGTCCCAGTCAAAGTCTATAATAAGCCCCAGCTAAGAAACCTATGTTAGACTTTAAAACTAAACTTCACAGCTCCTCTCCCTCCAGTCTGACTGAGCTTGCGCCTTTGCAGAAAGAAAATTGACAAAATGTAGTTCTGAATGTACAAAGCAGGCAATGACTCACCCTTAGAGACATGCACCTTTACTAGCTGTATTTCTCAAATAATTGGTTTGGGAGGGTTTGTTGAGAAGTTTGTTTGGGGTATGTGTTGATGTTGTTGGTCAAACAGAAGAAATCTTAAGATGTTGTAGTTGGAACTTTTTTTGAAATGCTTTTGCCATTACCTTCTTGATTTAAGGTTCACCCTTGATGCCCTGTAGGTTTAAACTAGATAAAGCGCCTAATAAAATGTTTGCTCCTATGATGTTTGAAAAGTGCATCAGAGTAGGAGAACTTTTTGCGTCTTTCCTACCATTAAGATTCCTTTAATGCAAGCAGTTTAACGTGGCAGTGTATCTGCAGAGTGCATTTAATAGGAATGCCTGGACATCAAACAAGATGACACACACAGAGGTCTGTCAGCACTCTCAATTTAACAGCACTTAAAGTTTCCATGTGAGCAGCAGCTGGAGTTTTTCTTAATTACTAAGGACTCTAACCCAAAACTGTGGAAGAGCTCTGCTATTATTTGTGGAGCTCTGCCTTCAGTCATTATTGGACAGCAGAAGCGAGCTGATTAGTCTCGACCTCCCTCATGTTTTGTTAGAAAGCAGTTTGAGGAGGAATGACACGCAGCCCTGGCTTGGAGCAAAATCCAAACCGCTGTTTGCCTTCCAGTCGAGGTGTGAAGGACGTGCCCAAAATAAAAAGAAGTGTTTATGTAAGAGGGGTGAGTGTTTCAAATTGTTTTTCCCTTTCTCCTCCCCCCAGGATTGACTGGCTTTAATAACAGCAGGGTAGGGGATAAATATATCGTTGCATCTAAGAAATAAGTGGGTGGGGGCTGCCTGGGAAATTAGACCCTGGATTGGCTTTTCTCTGATTGGCTGAAAAGAGCGTCAGCTTGGCGAGCATATAAAGCACAGCCAGGGTTGGAGAGGAGGGCAAGAAGAACGTTTAGAAGCTATTTTATAGTTTATGCATATTCTCTGACTATGCCTGGGGTGAACCGGGATTTCCTCCCAGCTTCACAGCCTCCAGAGACTTTGGGCTGTACTGAATCTGGCGTGGAGGAGGTGATCGGTGATCTCCTTGCCCAAGAGGAAGCCAAGGCTGACGATGTTCCTGGGGAATTAAACGAGAAGAAGCTTGAGATAATGCTGCGGTGTGCTGTGAAGGAGATCCACAGTGACCTTCAGAGTTTTGGGAATAAAGCGGATGTCCATTTGGAGGAGGCAGCAGCTAAAGTGGCTTGTTTGTTTGAAGCCATCTCAAGGCTGCAGGAGGAAAACCTCAGGCTGAGAACTGAGCAGGAGCAGATGATGAGGAAAGTGGAGGCCCTCTATCAAGTGATGGGACTGTCTGATCAAATGGCACACAAACTCTGCTCGGCCCCACATGAGCCCAAAGCTTCATCTGATGATGCTCCTTCATGCACAGTCGAAGAGGCCACAGTTGAAGCTTCACCTGATAATTCATCCTCCATTTCCAGAGATTCTCCATCAGGTAGCTTATCACTGCCAGACCAAACTGTGCCCCAGGGCCTTTCCTCAGACACACAGGACTCTCTCACTGAATCTACTGAGCCTCAGAATACAGAACTCTCAGCGACATCTGCAACCCGCCGTTCGCTCTCTGCGCCATCTCTGACGACGACCATTTCTCCTGACACCTACACGGTAGTGCTATTTGTAAATCCTTCTGATCATGACCCCTTTTCAGTCAGTAAAGCCTTATGAACAATGGGTATGCCTTTTCTATGCAACCATGGGTCAGCTGGCCATGTCTCCTCAATGGCATCCCAGTGATGCTGCCTTTTGTTCTGTCATGTACTTGCTGACCTACAGTCCCTTATCTTTGCCCATGTGGTCATTTAATCCATCATCATCTCCTCAATTCAACAGAAAAAAGGTTAGATCATATCAGCTGTCAGCTGGTTTTGGCAGATATATCCTTCATATGGAATTTCTTTCCACTTCTGTAAACAGCTTGTTGTGTCGAAACTGTACATTTTACATAGTGGTGCACCAATCAAAAGTAGTTTTTGTTTTTTAGTAAAGATTTGACCTGCTTAAAAAAAAAAAGTAATTGGAAAAGCAGTCCCATTTTTTTTTTAATCCCTTTCTCTTGAATTATTTTATAGGCTAAACAAGGATACAGAGTTAGGGATTTCATTTTGGGGCAAATTCTGGATATATTTGGATAAAAGTGCAGCTCTCCTGTTATCTGCTTATTCGTTCTTCCTCTATCATAGCCTGGAAAACCTGAGTGCATCTCGACATATCAAATGCAAGAAGCCACTTAAAAAGGAGTGCAATTATCTACATTAAAGATTGACGGATACAGGCTTATTATGCTGATCATTTCGACAATTCACGATATCTGGTGATTGTTGTTTTTTTTGTGTGTTTTATTTTCTATTTTTCAGGCTAATATTGCATTTTCTCCACATTATAAAAATTATAAATAATACCTGTTACACATGTCTCAATATAAACAAAAAATACACAAACAAAACCAACAATTGAGAGGAAATGGAGGGAATAGCAATGTAAGCACTTCATGTGATCTTGATACTTGGTTCACGAATGCATTAATAATTTGGCAAACACATGCATCTATCAGCCAATGTTGATACTTGAAACGCTTATTTTAACCCAAAAACTTTTTTTTATCTGCCTCTAACCTAAGTGCTTCCTCTAACCTTCATTAGGACCTGGTAGTTCTTGGTAACGTTGGCTCTACTGATTAGAAAAATAACAGATTTTAGATTTTTCTAATCTAGTGGTTCTTGATGAAGCTAATGTAGAAAGGATCCAACAGATGTTACATTGAGCTAATATTACAGAGAAAACTGCAAAGGAAAAAAATTAGCATAGCAAAGGAAATGCACCTGTTTTGTGCATTTAGTCTGAACCCACTTGGCTTTATTTGTCCGGCCTTAAGAAATGAAGTCTCACAGTGCCTCATCTGCTGCCTTTAACCATTTAGATCAAATTTCAAAGCTTCTGCTCTTAAAGAAATACCCCAAAATTGTTGACATTTTTCAGAATGTTGAAAATTAACTTGATTTTCTTAGCTTTTAAAAATCAAACATTCATGACTTTTTAAGATCACTTCTGACAGCTCTTTTTTTTTTTTTTAGCATTGACCATGTGTAGACTGTATTACAAATCAGACTTTGAGAATTGAGTTCAATTCACGCAGATACCACCAAATCGCAACCGATGTGATTTTAATCACAAACTGCTCTGATTCATAACTAGTTATATCTAATTACATGAGTCTAAAATCTTTCCAGTATGTTTTAGTTATTCACGTTCCTCTAAAATATACTACAGAAGGTTCAGGATCGTAAAATACCTGTTGGTGATAATAAACCCCATAGTGTTGCTTCGCAGCAAGAAGGTAGCCTGGCAACTTCTCCTAACAGAAATGCCAGTTCTCTCCTTAGTGCTCCTGCTTCCTCCCACAGTCCCAAAATGTGCTATTTTAACGTGATCATGCAGACATACAGGGACACCTTAGGATGTTGGTCCTCTGTGCAGCTGTGATAAGCTGCCAATCAGGGTAAAGACCAGCTGTTGCCCAACATCCGCCTGCCACCTTGAAGCATTTTGAAGAAATTGGATGTGAATGGATGAATGGTTAAAAAGTCGGTGATCAAGAGCATAGTAGTTGATTTGACTGCAGTCCCTCATTCTTAGCAGGTATTTGGTAATAGTGGAAGGAATAACTTTCTACCGCCATTGCGTCCATCTGTTGAGGCCAAGTGGGAACATAGAGCAGAAAGAGATGCAGAAATACTGACTTCCAGCAGTAGCTCCCTTAGTAGCTTTGCACAGGAGTGAAATAAGTTAATAAGGACGGTTGCTGCAGAAAAAAAGTTATATATATTTGTTAGATTTTGTTCCAGACTGACTCTAATATTTGGGTTGGAAACTCTGCCTCCAAAATCCTTTGTTTGGGCAGTTTTGGCGGTTGGAAGCTTGGAGCCCATGTTTGGCCGGGTCGAGTCTCAAAACATTCTTCATCGGTCAAGAGCCTCTCAGTGCAGCCTGTCCCAGGGGTTCAAAACTCTGTTTCCACAAAAGTCACACAAACAAGGGGCCACCCAGGATCGTTCTGTAGCTATGGTGGGTATTATCACTCCCTGGTGGGATGTGGTGCCATCCAGACCTTAGGAAAGGCTGTGGTTAGGAAGGCAGAGCGGTTTCTGATCCTGGACTTTGTTATTCTTACAAAGCATTGAAGATAGAGTTCTATAGTGGCTATTTAGCACTGTGTGTAGATTAAAGTGGTACTTTTAAAAAGATTTATGGCACTTTAGAATATGACAGGTACATGGTCAGGTTTATGTAATGATATCTAATGTTTGTTCCCTTTCGCTCTGTTTCTCCTGTGGTGTACATAGCAAAAAGCTTTCCATTTAAATTCCACCCACTAATGCACCATGCCCATCCCAACAGCGATAGTGGCACGTAAACTGTGGACTGGCAGGAGCCTGGTTATTATGGAGACACTCACTCACCCTCTGATCTTAGCAAGCAGTAACTTGGCAGGCTTTCTCTCCCGCTCATGTGCTCCGTGTCAGGATCTCTGTGGAAGGGCAGTAGAGGAGAGATGGTAAAAAGGCCTTTGTTTGTGGAAAAAAAAAAATCTATTCAGTAGTAAATGTCTAGAAATGCTTTAAATCGATTTTCTCAAAATCATTCTGGCTGTTTAAAAGCTCATCAGTCCTGAGTTACAACTGTAATAGTCTGATAAGACATCAGAATGCATTCTCCCTCTCCTTGCATAAAGCTATTGATTATATGGTGTCTCTTAACTGTTTTACCTAAATTTTATTTTTAGTTCAAAAGTAGACTATTAAAATATTTCCTTCAGTGACCAAGTTAGAACCTCTGGGTGGTTCCACCTTCAGCCCCTAAACCTGAAATGACAACAAATGTATTTCTCTCTGTGTTACAGATGGAGACTGAACCTGTTGTTGGCTCGGAGTCATTATTTTCAGCTGCTCAATCCAAGCTTGTGACATGTTCCGTCCCCACCATCCCCAACGGCTTCAGCACCCAGACCAAAGCCATTGAAAGCTCTGGAAAACTCACTGCTGAAAAGCTCGCTGCCATTGAGGATGAGGAGCTCCTGGACAAGATGGTACATCAGAAATTTAAAAGTTCATATTTGGAAGGTTTTTTTTAGGTATAGTGAACTGACTTGGCATCTTGTCTGCCATTTGTTTATCTTTGTTTGTCAAAGCTGGATGAGTCCAAAGATTTCGAGGAGAGGAAGATGATCCGTGCCGCCATGAGAGACCTTCGCAAGAGAAAGAGAGGTAGCGTTTAAATAATCAAATCAGGGGTTGCTTTTTTTATTTTATAATTTTTTTTATGTGCAGCATTTCTATATTCCAAAGATGTGAAAAAGTGGATTTTTCTGCCCCCAGAGGCCATGCTGGGATGTAGCCAGGAGGAAATGGGTAGGACTGGGTGTGCAGTGTGCATTGATCAATAATTTCTGCCTGGGTTTGCCTTTTTGTTTTTATCAGCCACTATGTTTTCTGGATGTTGTGGTTTATGAAATGCATGAAAGATAAACTCTCTACTTACACATTGTGGGTTTTAGCGAGCACTTGCCTTTTTGGCTTTACAAGGTTGCATCCAGTTTGTGCTGAAATCGCCATTGTGTGGGAAATCTGTAGATGACAGTTTCACTCGTAAACCTCGATTTGTTCACGTCTTTTATTTCTCACATTCTATCCAGCTAAAATAGGGTCTCTAAATTAACCGCTTTTACTAATGACCTTGATAAAATGCAGTTTAGCCAAGTAACCTGCTGAGGGAAGGCCTCTGAAGTTTGCTAGATCAAATAAGTCATGATGGCCAAGGAACACAGAAGACAGGCCAGAGAGTAAAAAGATTAGATATTTAAAAAACTGTTTAACGATTTAAAATGTAAATGTATAACATCCCAAGCAGCAGAGAGGCTAAGGTAACTCAAACTTTGTTGAGGTTATAAAATCTGTCTACATCTGTTCATTGGTGGGAGAAACTCAGATAAAGTTTGATTTTAAAATTGGCCATAATCCCTGGAGGAGACTGAACCTATGTGGAAGAAGGAGCTTTCCAATCTGATGAGACCAGATTAGATATATATTTTTAGCCCCCATATAAACAATGTGTGGTGGAAATCTACTACTTTGAGTTCCATATCTGTTTGTAAAGCATGGGGGTGGCAGTTTTATATTTTTGGATGCCTTCTTCAGCATGTGGAGGGAAATGAATGGGGCTTAATGCAGGTCAATACTGGAAAGGGGGAGTGTTGGCCTAGTGGTTAGAGTAGTGCTCTGAGAAGGTCGCACTCTGCTCCCTCGGGCGCCGCCCAATGGCTCCCACAGCTCCCCAAGGGGATGGGTCAAAATGCAGAGAGTAAATTCATTCATTGCGGGACAATAAATGGATTTACATTTACAAAGCTGTTTAAGGCTTCAGAAGATGCAAAGCTTGGATAACGTTTGCCCTTTCAGAAAAAAGGCTGTAGGCTGCATAGAAATCAAATATTTTTTAGATTCAGTGAAAAGAATAAAAAAAAAATTCATTTCTTTAAAGGCTTTCTGTTAGTCAGTCACAAAATTTGCAATTTCTTTATCATTAAAGTGGATTTTAAAATGAATAATCTAATAAAGTTGGAAATAACCACCTCAGGATGAATTCATGACAGTCTCTCTGGTATGAGCTCACAGCACCAGGGATGGTGTCTGTACTTTGGATGACGCTAAATTTGGAGAAGTCCTGTCTCTCTTTGCTCTGGGATGTTTTTGTTGTGCCGGACATGTTATTTGACAGCTCTTGAACCTCTCATCTGCAGAGGTTTGTGTGTTCAGGGACATTTTTTTTAAACCACTGTGGAAAGAATTGTGAAATATAAAGCTGTCAGATCAGGAAGCCCTGTTTTCATCCATCTCTGCAACAGTCAGATCAGGTCCTGACAGCTTGTTATGACTTTTTGTTCTCCTTCTCCCTCCATCCATTTTTTTTTTCCACTGACATCATTTCTCCCTCACCAGACCAAAGAGAGAAGGAGCGTGACACTCGTCTGCAGGAGCTGCGACAACAGAGAGAGGAGAGGGCGCAGAAAGGCCGCGCCGGACCCGGAGCTGGAGAGGTGGTGATAAGGAAGATGGAGAAGTCGGCTGACGGTTCGACCCTCAGCCAAGTGACAAAGACAAATCGTTTCGCCCAGTCCGGTAGTTTTGTCTCTTATTTCCTTTTAGTCATTGCTGAGTCCTTTTTTTTTTTCTTAGGTTTTATTTAATGAAAAGATGAAAATTAAGATTTTTTTATTGTTTTTTTTGTTTTTTTGTTTTTTGTTTTCAGATGATGGGAGCAAATCAACACGCAGCACAGTTGTAGAAACCAGTTATGTACAGAAGACAGACAGTAAGATAATATTTTTATTGAACATTATGTCATTTTGGGCCATTTCTTTTTATTCATTTCTTTTGTTTTGTGCCTTTAGGAGGAACAGTCCAATCCAAATCCTACAGCTTCACCTCCTCATCCTCCTCCAACACAAGCAAAAAAGTTGGCAGGTGGGCCATTAGCTGCAATGCATAAATAATGCAGTGTTTCAACTTGTTACTTTCAAACATGAACGGGATGCAATTCTCTGCTTCAGCGTGTTTGATCGTGAAGATGAGATGACGTCTAAAACTGGTGGCAGCGGCGGTTTGTCCGCTGTCGAGCGACGGCAGGCGGAGAAGCGCAGAGAGCTGATGAGAGCCCAGACGATGCCTAAGACATCCGCCATGCAGACTCGGAAAGCCATGATAGAGAAGCTGGAAAAAGAAGGAGGAGGGTGAGGAGAAACAGCAGGGAAAAAATGACAGTGATGCAGGTCAGAGCATGAGCATGTGTGTTCATACTAAACCAAGTCTGGGTTGTTTTGCTTTTGTTTGTTTTTCAGCCCTGGAAATCAGGCAGTAGCCAAGGTAAACAAGGTGCAGCGCTCCACTAGCTTTGGTGTTCCCAACGCAAACTCCATCAAGCAGATGCTGCTTGACTGGTGTCGTGCGAAGACACGCTCGTATGAGGTGAGCAGGGCGTCACCTACAGAGCTGGGCCTGAGATAACATTCTTCTCTGTATTGTAAAGGTTGATTCATCTAACCCTTCCTTATCTGTTTGTCTTCTCCATCAGAACGTGGACATTCAGAACTTTTCTTCCAGCTGGAGCAATGGTATGGCGTTTTGTGCCCTGGTGCACAATTTCTTCCCTGACGCCTTCGACTATGACTCTCTGAGCCCCAGCAACCGGAGGCAAAACTTTGAGGTGGCCTTCAGTGCTGCAGAGTGAGTACTCACCACATTCTTCTCACTATTAGATTTAGAATCCTAAGAAAAGAGAAAACAGCACTAAAATACATTGCAATGAAAAATATAAATGCTCCTTTTCAAAGTTTCTTTGTCTTTGCTCTTATCATGCCTTAATAAAATGCCTAAAAACCTTTTCAAACTAACCTTACCATATGTCAATACGTTATGGTTCCCTACACTTGGCTTCAACCGCTCTCATCAGCCATTTATGAGAGCTTACTTTTTTATTTTACACTAAGGAGGAATTTTGTCCCACTCTTTTTTTTTTTTTAATAGTTTTCAAACAGGTGTTTGAGGATGAGCGACTTGTTTAAGGTCATTTCCCAGCATCTCAGAAAGAGTTAAGTCTTTGATTAATACACTCTAAAAAGATCGTTTTTTAGCTATTCAGAGGTGGACTTGATTTGAGTCATTTCCTGGCCAGTAAGTGGGGCACTTGCGTTACCCCACTCTCGTTCTGTTACGTTTAAAATGACCTTTACGGGTCACAATATCATGTCCGGCCATTCGGTGAGAACAATTGTGGTTCAGTTTTGACAAGTTTTCAATGTCCTGAAAAAGCGAGGTAACCCCAAACCATTACACTACCGCCACCATACCTGCCTCTCAGAAGGATTCTTGTTTTCTTGTTTGATTCTTGTTTATCTGCTTTACTTTATTATCTGATTTAACAAGACACATTCCGTCCACAAAGCCGCACTTGTTTTCTAAAGTTAGACAGGAATTGGTTTTCTTTTCGGTCATTTTCAGTGCTGACTGGATAAGTTCAGAATAAATTATAAGGAGAACACAGGCTTCTATTTCTTTTAAAAATAATTTTAAATATTTAAGATTAACGAAGAAAGTAGTGATAAACTTTATAAAGGAAATGATCCCAGAGCCTTTGATGAAACATTTCATAAACAGTGTTCAGCACATCTAATCCCTGTAAGTGGGTATTTCTTAAAGTTATATCTTCAGATTTAAGCATTTCCCATATAAAATGGGAAATAAAAGTTTTCTTCTAGTTTAAAAAATCAATTACACTAGATTGACAGGAACCGTTTAGCCTCAGCTTTATTTATAATCTCTAGATCTGTTTTCTTGAAGAAGAGTTAATGACCAATGAAATGTCTGCTTTGTCATTGTTTTCTGTCTCTAATACAATATAAAAACCTGTTTTTTTTTTATTTTACAATGAGGGATACTGCTAATGGATTTGATGCAGAGTGACTGATACCTAATCCTAAAGGCTATAAAATACTACATCAGCAGCTGTTAACATCAAATTTGGTTACTCTGATTTTGAAAGTATTCAAATAGATCAAGTTGTTGCTTAAGAACCCAGTTCAGGTCCACCCACAGACCTCAGATCTAATTCCTACTCTGTGTTGCTCCCCATCATCTACTCGAGTCTAAAGATGTTAACCGTTTCTCCCAGGTATATAAAGCGTCTATCAAGGCTGAGTAAACCTCTAATTTCTGCATTAACTCTGCCTCTAACCGTCCCCCCCGATGTGAACAACTGCGCTGACTCTGGTTTGGAAAACATCCTCCTCCCATCTGGGCCTTGTCCGTTATCTATCCCTTATCTCTCTCTTATCTCTTTTTGCATCTCACCACTTTTGTTGACGCACCCATCTGTTGTGTGTGTGTGTATGCTGTCACACGTAGCAGTTAGAATAAAGTCTCAGCCTCAATGGCTCAGCTTTTACTCTTTGTGTTGCATCCTCACTCGTGTCTCCAGTCACAGAAGATCCGCACAACAAACTCTGACACGACCCTCATTCTGTGCACGAGTGTGTTTAGAGTCACCCCATAGCTCTTTTTATCCTATTGTATTTTTCACTGTTACAAAGTTGTTTTTTTCCTGTTTTATTGTATTATTAAAGTCTAAAATAGGCATGGGTCGCTATTAGGTTCTCACAGATTGAGAACTGTGGCTAAAAATACAATCCATTATTTATACAACAGTTTGAAACAAAAACTTATAATTAAATTGAATTATTTCCTTTTTTTAATCAGATTTTATTTAAAGATTATATTGAGCTATTTTTCAAGGGTTATTACCAAAGTTAGAATAATCCGGTATTTGTTTGTCAAATCTTAAAACTAAGGCAAAAAAAGTAGTTTTTGTGCTTTTTATAATATCTTTTTTGCCATTCTGCTCTGCTTAGAGAAGACTCTTGGTGATATTAGCGGGCTAGCTGGGCTTTGCTGCCCTTAGCATGCTCACTGTCCTTAGAAAACACCCTAACTTTGATAAAGGCGATGGGTGGCGCTCCTTTAGTTTCCATTTGTTTGATAGTTCAGGATAGTATATTTCCCATCTTCCAGCCAGCTGACTGGCAGTGTGCAGCAGCATGTGAAAGAGGAGTTATCCCAGATTTCACTAGTTTTTAAACATTTGGAGAAATCCCTCCAGGATTATATCATAAATGCGTCTTAAAACTTTAACTTTGTTTTTAAACCACTGTATACCTGGAACCTCCGTATACCTCGCTATCCTTTCCGGGCCCATGCCTAACCTGAAGTCAATCACAGAAAAAAACAACACATAAAAATAGACTGAATGGGCATCACCTGATGCTCATTCAACACCTTGTTTTGTCCTGTGTATGTATGCCACATGTTGGATGTACTGCAGAGTTCATGAAGCATGATAACTCATGGATGTATTTTTGAACACTGGATGTAATGTTTATTTTTGTGCTCTTGTTTTTGTTTCTTTTGTTCTCTCACTCTTGTTTATTGGCTGCTCACGGCTCTGTTTGCTTTTCCTTCCCTCCTCCCTGTTTTCTCTGTCCTGTTCCCTCCCTTTATCTGTCCTTCATCCCCTTTCTGTCCTGTCCTCCTGTTCATTCTCTCCTCTGACAACCCTTCACCTTCGGGTGGGGCCGCAGGAAACTAGTGGACTGCCCCCAGCTGTTGGACGTGGACGACATGGTGAAGATGCGTGAGCCGGATTGGAAGTGTGTGTACACGTACCTGCAGGAGTTCTACAGGGGCCTGGTGACGAAGGGCCTGGTTAAAACCAAAAATTCCTCCTAGAATTGCTCCTCAACTAAAACAAAACCCATGGTGAGATGGAAGGGATGAGCTTCTGACTTTGGATCTAAACTAGTGGTTTGCAATTTATTCGTATCTCTTACAGTTTTCCAGATTTTTTTCAAATTTTTAAAAATAATTTATGGTAACCTGAATTGTAATGATGTATAATTAAGACATTAACCAGCTGCATTCAACCAATGGAATTATAATTAGAATCACAGTATAGAAAAGGTTGTTCTTTGAAGGCATTTGTTGGAGAGAACAAACCACACAGAATCAGTTATAAAAAAAGACTTATTTAAATTTTTTATTTTATAAAAACAGAATTTATTTGCAAATGACCATTGTTGCAATGAATTTGTGCTGGTCTTCAACAGTCTGTCATATCAGTAAAATGTTGAAATCTTCAAGGGATATAAGCAGTTCTTAATGCAAGGCAATTCAAGGGACGACATCTCTTTAATAATCAAATATATAAACATTGAAGGTTGCTTTTTTTCATTTGGCCTATAAAGTTGATTTGAAGCTTCTTTGGTTCAAAGCACCAAACATGGTCTATGTGAATGAGTGCATCTTAACAGCGAGTCTTCAGCCCGGCTGCGAGCCAGTCCCATCTGCAGCCCAGCACTTTAAAAGGAGCTGCTGTATCACTGCGTTTTAAACAGTCAAAGTAAAGAAACAAAGCAGAGAGGAGAACCACTTTGTTGTTCCACTTCTGATCGACTTTAAGATTAGAAGTGTTTATCCTCTCAACTTATAAAAACTTTTAAAGGCGCTTTACCTTTAAAACGCGCGGGAACGTGTCTGCAAACCTTTAGGAAAACAGGCCTCATGTTGACTTTTCTTCTCTCTTAAGTGGATTTATTGCTCATGTCATTTTTGTGAGATTCTTCACTTTGTACTGTAACATGTCTAAAAGTTTGATGATATTGCCACCTTGTGGTCTCTTTCTACAAATTCTCCTGAGCAAAAGCATTGCTAAAAAATTTTGAGAGCTATTTCACATAATTAGTTCCAAGGTATTTAAAAAAAAAAAAAAAAAACAATAAACATTTTGTACTTATAAATGGTTTTAATATATATATATTTTTAATTCCCCATTTTTCTGGGTTTGTTTCTTGATTGTTTCTGGACATTTTTAGTAAAACTTTTGAACCATTTTAGTTTTAGTTTCTACTATAAGCCAGGAGTTCATTGGATTTATCTCAGAAGCTAAAACTTGTGTAGACCATTTTAGATCAGTGCTTGTCAGAGCCTTCAACTTTATACTTATTAAATCCTAGCTGGAATGCAGATCCTCTGAAGATCTGGTTCTAATCAGCCTGCTGATATTTTACTTGTAAACTGGACACACTGTGTGAAAACTTTATCCAGTTTAAGACCCTGCTCTAAGCAGGTTTAAAAGTAAAAACTAAATAAATAAAAAGGGTGGAAGAGTTGTTTAAGTTTTTTTTATCTTCATGTTTTTATGTGTGGGTTTTCTGTACTTAACCCAAAAATCTAAAATCAACAAATTTGACAAAGTCATGATGAGACACCAAAAAAAAAAAGAAGAAAATATCTAATATATACTATTCTATTTGTATTTTAATATTAGTATTCTTCTTTTGCTTTTTTTATTTTTTTGTTTTTTGTTTTATCTTAAAATTTAAATATTTGAATAAGAAAAGCAGCCTGGAATCTCCAAAGGGTTTAATGCTTTCAATAAGGAGAGGATTATCAGAAGGTTTTTGCAAAGTTTTATGATTAAAACCTCAAGTTATATGAAAATTACAGCTTTAAATAAGAACAATAAAGAATTTTTTTTATAAATTTTGGGTTGTCCTTTTCAAAGTCAACTCAAGTCATATCGGCTATTTTAAAGATGATGACATGAATTCAGTAACATACGAATTTCATCCTAGAAATCAAACAATGCAGTTGTGTTGCTGAAAAAAGAGGCAGTAGCAACAGAGATGCTGCAGCCTTGTGTTATCAGTAATGCAATAGTCATGACAGAATGCGTACGGATGGAAAGCCAGACTGAATATTGCACATTATTGTGTCCTCCTCTCTCTGCAGTTAGACCCATTTCCTCCCATCCATCCTCACCTCTGCCATCTGACCCATGTGTCTCTTTTAGGACCTACGCCAACTGCATGCCTTTGCTAGAAGTGGAGGACATGATGATCATGGGTAACAAACCAGACTCCAAATGCGTCTTCACCTATGTGCAGTCTCTGGTGAACCACCTCCGCAGATACGAGATGTCCATGGGCCGTCCCTGCGACCTCTGACCTGTGGCCTGCGCTCATTCGCCTCTCTGACGGACGCGTCAGAGATTCTGTGTGTGTGTTTGTCTTTTGCTTCTAACGTGTTGGCAACGCTGTGTTGTTTCTTCTTAAACAATCTTTGCTGACATGGGCTCTACCTCTATAGCAGACAGAGAGGACGCGTTCATTTTAAGAAAAAAAAATATTTTAAGGTTTTTGATTCTGTGTTTTTTCTGTATTTAAACTTGGTTCAGTGCAGATTTCAGCTGCTGTACTGTCGGTGTTAACATCCTTATATCCCCCTTTAAAACAAAAAAAGTGTTTTTAAAGTATCCCCTCTTTTAACTCTTATTTTTTTCTGATGTTCTTGTAGTTCTCTCTGCAGCTTAGTTGGTAAATCCACTGAAACATTTCACAAGTATTTGAAGCTGCATTTCCTTTCTGTTCTGGTACTTTTCCACCTCATTTGGAACCGAATTCCGGTTATTTTAAGTTATTTTTTTTAGCTAAAAAGTGTACTAAGTTTTAAATAATGTGCATATAGGGGTTTGTCCTGATTATTAAAAAGGATTGAACATTGTTAGACCAATCACATGCTTTAAGAAAATAACTTCCTGTGCAGAGCTGCTGATGAAACCATGTCATTATGAAAACTGAACTGGTTCAGGACAACGCTGGCTTAGTTGGAGTCTGATGTCTCCGAGCTGAAAGCACATTTAAAGAAAATCTACCACACTGTTTAACCCCCAGAAGTATGATATGTTCATTTCCAAATTGCAAGACTTCCAATCAGAGATTTTATTTATGCTTTATATATATATTTTATTTTTTTTGCAGGTATTTTAGTTTGAGCTTTAAGCTGTTAAGCAGTTAGTTAAAGTAAGTTAGTTAAAGTAAGTTAATTGGTTGAAGCTCTTGTCATTTTATTTTCTGTAACAATTGGCTTGCCCTTTTTATTTTTAGAATGGACAGTAATGCTATAAACAGTAAATCTGATATTAAGCTAAGTAAAGATTAATTTTTTTTATTTCAATTCTCTTTTGAGAGAGATGATAAAAATATTTTTAATTGTTGGAAATGATTTTCTGAAAGCTTTTTTTTGGTATATATGAGAATTTATATAGTTCATCTGCTTGCAAAAGAAAAAAGAACGCAAAGCAGTGAGCATTGAGTGTGTTGGAGTGTATATAAGAGCTTACACATTGTATAATTTGATGTTTCCTGTGCACCACAGTTAAATGTAAATTAACAATTAAACCAATTTGGGAAATATTTACTGTGTACGGATGGTTATTTTGTCACTTATGAAACAGTTTGAACCAGTTTAATTGCTATCATACTAAATATACCTTTGCTTTATGTCTGGAGTAGTTTGGGAAACTGTCCTTTCCTATTGCTTGTCTTATATAAAAACATGTTCATCTATCAGAGCATCTGCTTCCAAACAGTTTTTTTTTTTTTTTTTTGTATTTTAACATGTCAAAACAATCCAGATTTTATTTAGATTTTCTGAAGCAGATTGTCACAGTATTATAGCTTTGTGATTCCTTACTCTGGTAAGGAGATGTGCTAAACTTTAGGCCTTCCTGATTCATTCTTTGTAGAACAACCATGTCGACCAGCCTTTCACGTGTGGGCTGATTTAGTTTTGCCAATCTTTGCAAAATACCTCAGTTTGAAAAGGGATAGCCTTCTTAACATCACTTCCGACATCTTGTCACAGGTTCTCAATTGGATTTAGGTAGAAAAAGAAAAATGGGCCCATCTAGCAAATTAATATGCTTCCATATATACAAGGAATGAACTCCTGCCCCAGTCTCAAGTGTTTAGCTGCCTCTAACAAATTTTCTGCCAGGATTGTTCAAAATGTATCTCCATACAGCTTTCCATAAACTCTGACCAGCTTCCCTGTCTCTGCAGCAGAGAGTCAAACATTGATAACGCAAGCCTGCTTCTCCCCAACCTGTCTGCTGTGTTTCTTGTCCTGGTGTTTTTCTCTGAGGTCAAACCTTTGATTTATTCACAAAACAGGTGGATTATTACTAATTTTCTCATTTGTAGATATCCATTATTGTTTTATCTACATATTTTTATTTAAACGTGTATCTTATTGGAGTATGTTCAGTTCAAACCATTTACACTTCAGTTCTGTAATTTTGGGTATATATAAATGTAAAATAATCTCACCTAAGTGTGTAGGAACATTTGAGACTTTTTCTTTTTTATTAATGTTTTAGAATCAACATACTTTCTACTTGAGGTCATTTGTGTTCATCCAGCCCACTGGAACAAGAAGCATCAGCATCAGGCTGGTCGGACGACTTTTCACCTGAGGCTTCATTCGGTTTCACAGCAGGGAGGAGTAAGAACAAAATAACACGATGATATGGAGATTATGTGGATAACATACAGATAAGACCTAAAACACATCCAGTATAAAACTACTTTTCAAGTTGTAACCCAAAAAACAGTGGTATGAAAAGTCCTAACTATAAAGATTGTCTGACTAACATGAGATATTTCCCTTTCCCCCAATAAGCTAACTACAGTAAAAACAACAATCAGCTGATGTTGGAGCTGCTGGGAAGCTGTTACTATATTTGCCCAGTCTATACAGTTATAGGTCAGTGTGCTTGACCTCTGGATCAGACTCTGGGGAGGCTTTCTCTGCGTCTAAAGTGGATGTTGATATGTTTGGGCGCTCGTCTTTGAACGGACTGTCTTTGGCGGGAGCGAAGCGGAACTCCTCCGGCACCTCGTCCTCTGGTTGAGCTTTCTTGTAGAAACCCAGTTTCTCCAGCAGCTTGTTGATTTCAGAGCGAGTCATGTCAGACAGAGCAATCCGCTGCAAAGGACACACAGTTAATAAAGGATCGTTTGACCTTTAATGTTTAGTCACACACCACTATCTCATCCTGCTTGGAGTAATTAAAGAATAAGGACATCCAGTTATACTCTGTGTCTTGTTTGAACATATTTAGACATATGGATCTAAGGTCATTTTTAACAATACTAAACAAATAAAGTTTTAATATGACACAGAAACTGAAGAAAATACCTTTTTTTTTTTTTTTAATAAAGTGAAAGATCTAAAATAAACACTGGTTTATCACATTATTAGAAAATCACTACTTTGTTTTTTAATGGAGGCTTTCCCTTTTTTAAACTTAGAAATGTAATTTATTGTGCTCCTGACAGGTCATGTAATAACAAAGACATCTGATATCAACACAGCTTCAGCAAAAATGATTTTAGCAGCTGATATGTCTGGTAAGGTTTTAATAGAAGTCTTAGAAGAATTTAAAATTTGCTATTCCTCTTATAGATGGATAATAGTAATCAAAGACATTCACAACGACTACTATTGGCCATCTAGCCAATATGCTAAAAGGCTGTAATCGTCTATCAAAAAACACACTAGGAGCCAGATTATAGTTTTTTAGAAAGAAAAAAGGCGACTTTAGCATTTTTAACACCTAAAAAACAAGGAAACGTTTGGCATTAACCAGAGGCAGAATTACAGGAAAACAATCTCAGAGAAACAGTGAAGCATGGAGCTGGTTTGGGGGAATCTTTGCTGCAGAAGGACGTTTCCAGCTCATCATTACAGAATCCTGCATGAGCTCTACCCAGGATCAGAGGAACAAAATACAATAAGCCATCTGTGAGCAGAAGTTGGCCCTAAAAACTGCTAAATCTGGTTAAAATTGTCTGATTATAAGAGGGTGAACTCAAAGCCTTTATCTTGATTTTAGTGAGGTTCTGTGGGGAAACTTGACCAAGGCTGGTCAAGTTTTCCCTTTAGACCGATATCAGGGACTGCTGGATAGCTAGAAGCATTTAACTGAGGTATATTCAACCAAAAAGGAAGAGCATCATCTTTTGCCCACATTTTATCTTTCTGTTGTATTTAACTTTTTTTGTTGCTTGAGTTCAATTACAGTAATTAGTAGAGTATAGTGATTTTTTTTTTAACTAATGACTGTATTATGCAGAAAAAGGATGACCTTACACCTTTTAACACCATTAGAAATGTTAGCTGTTGTGTAATCCCTTTAAATCTGCAGCATTCCTATGAACCAATTTGTTCAGTTTTCCTCAAATCTGACATAGTGAGGAAGCTCCTGTAAACATCCTGAGGAAGTGTTCAACAAGCAAGTGAGAACTGTAGCGTGATCTAAAGAGCCACACTTTACCCTGAGGAGCTGGTTCAGACCAAAATAGAAACATTATCCCAACTCCAAATTGATGCTTCATTTGCTCAAATTTCTCCTTCATGAGAATAATGGCTGCAACATTCAGCAGAGACCAATTAAAGCTTAAAATATCATTCAGATCTTACAATTTCACAGATGTGTGGGGGAGAATAAATAGATTTCTATTAAGCTATTTCCTTTTCCAATATATCATTTGATGTTCAAGGGTTACAATCAGAGTTGCACATTTGCACAAGATAGAAAAAATATATTCCAGCATTTATTTGTATTAATTACAACGATAATGTTGTACAGTATGAAATGTAGTTTTTAAGAAAATTTGATTATTCCTTAAAAAGAAATTATGCAATCAAATTTTAAACTAAGCATTGAATTCTGTGTTTTTGACCCATTCTGCAGAATCAAAGGGAGTTCAGGTCATTTTGACCAAACCTTTACAGATAAGAATATTTGTTTAAGGTTTTAGCCAGATTTGTGACCTCACCCCGTGTCTTTATTGTGGCTATGCTAACCCTTCCTATGATATCCTCTTTGGCTTTCCCACACTCATAGATCAAAAACAAGCTCCTTGCAATGCATACTGAATAATAACTACACCAAATATCAAACTATGGTTGTTCCAGTTTTATTTATTAATTTTCTCACAAAGAAAATGAAGAAAATCTGTAGAAAACGTGCATACGTGTTAAGTTTTTTTTATTTTTGAGTGCAACATACTGCACACTTTTACCAACAGGAACAGCCAGCAGCATCAAATATCTTCCATGCTCTGTTTGGAATTGCCTGTTCAGGTGTTTGGCTAAACCCAGTGGTACGGTCAGCTGGGAAATCAGCAGCTGGTTTCTTTCACATCCATTAGACATCAACAACTTCTTCATCACACAATGGAAATAATAATGATGCAAAATTTAAATAATAGCAGCATTTTCTAAAACCTCACAAGAAAAAGAATACCAGGTCTGATATGTTTTTGTATACATTTGAAAATGGCTGGATAAATCATTTTGTATTCCATGGATGGATGATTGGTCTTTGCAGGGGTAAGAAGTCCAGCAGGAAAACCACAATATATGTATAATCCCTCCATTGAGTTCTGGGACTTCCCTGGTCCTAATTAGATATAATAGAGTGTCTTGATTAACTCCTGCCTGAAGCAGAGGGGCATTGGCTCGACTTTAGGCTATCCTGGATGCTGCAGCAACTAGTCTGGCTTCTCTATGGAAGATAGGCTGATCCCAGTGCCTTGTTCCCAGTTTATGGTTTTAAGAATCAAATTAGATTTTTAAAAATCTGTTTAATTCATGATTACGCATTTATTTGTTTTGTTATTTAAGAGTGAGTCCAGGTTATCAATCTGGATGTATAGCGTTTTAACTGCGCTTTAGAGCCACAACAACACATTTCCCATCACGGTCAATTATTAATAAATGCACAGTACTTACATCCAGTTCTTCATAGTAGTGGTTCAGGAGGACAAGCTCAGGATCAGCTCCAGGAATGTGCTTCATCACCAGGTTATGGCTGTGGTGGGAGCCGTCAAGGATTTTTAGGAATAAAACACACAGCATGCTTGCATCAACTCCTGAACTCAAGAAGGTAAAATATATTGCTGATGGAAAGGATACTAAAGAGGAATATCCTGGACCACAAAGGCTTTGACCTGTAGACAGAGGTGAGAATGGTTGTTTTTATTCATTAAAACTGGATGCAGTTACCAGATTACTGGGATCATCTAAAACAAAGGTTGTAAATTGTGAATAATTCTCAGCGTATGTTTTTTAACATAGGAAATGTACTTTTTTTCTGTCTCTAGCTCTGATTCTTAGTTACTTTTGTATGTTATTTCAAAACCATACATACAGACACTTACCTCTCTGAGTCTATTCAGCTGTCATCCTCCACAGGTCTGCAGAGACACAATGAGAATAACGTAAAAAGTCACAAAAGCATTGTAATACAACCTGAAAGCAAAAAAAAAAAAAAGACAAAGAAATACCTTCTCAACGAGAAGGCTTTGAAACCAGTGCAGTTTTACCTTATGCTCATAGAACAGATTCAGTGAGGCCCCGGGGAGGATGTCTGGCCTATATTATGGGATATCTGAGCCACAGGTATGGAGTAAAATCTGACTAATACCATAATAGAATCAGATCTTGCCTTTTGTCTCTGAAGCTGACAGGCTGCAGATAAAGTTACTTCACTTTCAGAGGTTTTTGTTCAGCAGCTGTGCTATTATGTACCCTAAAATCTTTCTAACATGTGCATACTACATTTTATACTCTTCAAAGGTGATTAAATGTTCGAATCATTTTAACCACGATGTGCACAAATAACACTAATAAAATGATAATAATAATATCAATATCCAAATGCTTTTAATTTGTAAAGCGCTTTCCATGTCTCTTTAAGATGCCGATTTACTCCCATTAATATAAAATAATGACCTTTACGCATGCGCCCTGCGTCCTCGGGTTATAAAATCGGCTTTCTGTTCCTATCTTTTATTGCCTGATATTTTGCTGTTTATTTGTGAGCGTATCTATGGAGAAGAGAAATGTACCTCCACCCTGGCTTTGGCCAGAGCCTCCAGCTTCTGCGGATCCACATCATAGGCCGAGACACAGTGAAGGAAGGAGGCCACCACGATCAGCCACATTCTGCTACCGGGACAGACACCTGAGAGCGGCCCCTGCTTCCTCTGTGTGAGCAGCTGCTACCTGCCGAGCTTTCACTATCCTACAGGAGGGGCGATGAGGAGCAGCTTTGTTACGCGTGGACTTCTTGCCACGTCAAACATTTCTCCCACAGCAGGGAGGGGGCGTGGAGAGGACTCTCATTGGATACCCGGAGCCTCGGAACCACGATAAAGTTCATTTAATACATCATTAAAGCAGCTGCCAATAATCACTGGGAATAATCATAAAAAAAAATCAAAAAAAAAAAAAAAAAAAAAAAAAAAAAAAAGCAGAGTGGGATTAAATTTAGCAAATGCCTGCTGTTTCAGCAGTAAGATAAAATAAAAACTAAACCTTCATTTTACAGACAATCTTTAAACCATATCCCTACAATATCATTTGAAATGTAAAGCAATACAAGCCTTTCAATTTCTGCATATTACTGTTTATTACTGCATGAACTGTATAGATTCTACAATGCGAAACAACAACAGCAATAACTTGTGCAATGTATAATGTGCAATTACTATTTAATACCCTGCGCAATAACCCTGTATAATGATCCTGCTAAAAAAGCTGTCATATGCATATATACACTACCAAAAAGTTTGGGGTCACCCAAACAATTTTGTGTTATCCTGAAAAGTCACACTTATTCACCACCATACGTTGTGAAATGAATAGAAAATAGAGTCAAGACATTGACAAGGTTAGAAATAATGATTTGTATTTGAAATAAGATTTTTTTTTTTTACATCAAACTTTGCTTTCGTCAAAGAATCCTCCATTTGCAGCAATTACAGCATTGCAGACCTTTGGCATTCTAGCTGTTAATTTATTGAGGTAATCTGGAGAAATTGCACCCCACGCTTCCAGAAGCAGCTCCCACAAGCTGGATTGGTTGGATGGGCACTTCTTGCGTACCATACAGTCAAGCTGCTCCCACAACAGCTCAATGGGGTTCAGATCTGGTGACTGCACTGGCCACTCCATTACGGATAGAATACCAGCTGCCTGCTTCTAAATGGTTCTTGCACAATTTAGAGGTGTGTTTAGTGTCATTGTCCTGTTGTGGGATGAAATTGGCTCGAATCAAGCCCTGTCCACTGGGTATCTCCTACCTTACCAGCACCAAAGCAACCCCAGACCATCACATTACCTCCACCATGCTTAGCAGATGGCATCAGGCGTTCTTCCAGCATCTTTTCATTTGTTCTTCTTTGTGATCCAAACACCTCAAACTTGGATTCATCCATCCACAACACTTTTTCCAGTCTTCCTCTGTTCAATGTCTGTGTTCTTTTGCCCATCTTAATCTTTTTCTTTTATTGGCCAGAATCAGATATGGCTTTTTCTTTGCCACTCTGCCCTGAAGCCCAGAATCCCGCAGCCGCCTCTTCACTGTATATGTTGACACTAGTGTTTTGCGGGTACTATTTAATGAAGATGCCAGTTGCGGACCTGTGAGGTGTCTGTTTCTCAAACTAGAGACTCTAATGTACTTATCTTCTTGCTCAGTTGTGCAACGTGGCCTCCCACTTCTTTTTCTACTCTGGGTAGAGCCTGTTTGTGCTGTCCTCTGAAGGGAGTAGTACACACCGTTGTAGGAAATCTTCAATTTCTTAGCAATTTCCCAGATGGAATAGCCTTCATTTCTAAGAACAAAAATAGACTGTCAAGTTTCAGATGAAAGTTCTCTTTTTCAGGCCATTTTGAGCCTTTAATTGACCCCACAAATGTAATGCTCCAGAAACTCAATCTGCTCAAAGGAAGGTCAGTTTTGTAGCTTCTGTAACGAGCTAAACTGTTTTCAGATGTGTGAACATGATTGCACAAGGGGGTCAGTTTTGTAGCTTCTGTAACGAGCTAAACTGTTTTCAGATGTGTGAACACGATTGCACAAGGGTTTTCTAATCATAAATTAGCCTTCTGAACCAATGGGCAAACACATTGTACCTTTAGAACACTGGAGTGACAGTTGCTGGAAATGGGCCTCTATACACCTATGTAGATATTGCACCAAAAACCAGACATTTGCAGCTAGAATAGTTATTTACCACCTTAGCAATGTATAGACTGTATCTCTTTAAAGTTAAGACTACTTTTAAGTTATCTTCATTGAAAAGTACAGTGCTTTTCCTTCAAGAATAAGGACATTTCAATGTAACCCCAAACTTTTGAACGGTAGTGTCCTACGCTATATATATATATATATATATATATACATATATATATATATA